GTAATATCTCAGTGCTTATCCTACTTTAATGTTTTATTTGTAGATGTTATCTGTAACTGATACTTGCCTGCTCAATATGAATCTGCCCGGTATATATTAAAAGCGAGCACCCTGAAGGCAGCTCCTCTCACTTGTGGAACGCCTCTCGGTGCTTGGGCTCTGGCAGCATGCTGCAGGGAGCAGCTTGGAGCTAGCCAAGAGGATGCACCAGCTGGTCTGCTAGGCCCTTTCTCTTTCTGGAAACTGGTCCCCAATTAACCGCAAAATCCCCAATAGCAGATACTTCACTCCTCCTTTTTCAAGTCCCCAGATACTAATAGGAGATCTGCTTTTCTCAGAGGCCATCTTGGACATGATAGCTTTAAATAAAGTTCTGAAGTTGCCTTCCATAGAAGTAAAAAAGATTGCAAACTGGATGCCAATTGATGTTTTCAGAGGAATGAGATGAGTTTATGAAAGTCAAGTGATCTTGCCCCTGACAGCAAAGGCAGGATGACTTGGTGACTTGGATATTTCATCCATTCACGTTTTCTAATTTCCTTTCACTCCCCAACCTGAAAAGACAAGATCTGAGGTTTTTCAGTTACTTGCGGCTCAGAGGGATAAGCAGCAGGTTGCACTGTTGTTTTTTCCAGCAAAGGCAGTCATTACAGCTTTTTGGTACTGAACTGGGAAGAATAGTTTGTATTTCGCGTTGTGTGTATATGCAGTGATCTCTCCATTCATAAGAGAAATATTTGAGAGAGTGAGCGGACAGATCAGATTGGAGGCAAAAAAGGTGCCATGTCTAAGCTTGTGTAGTTTGTTTTCTGACCAACGGCATTCGATGGTCGACGGCGTGATTAGACGAAGAGTAGAAGGAACACAGCAGGAGCTGTTCTTTCCTCTGTACTTGCTCACAGCATCTCTCCGTCTGCTGCGCTCGTGAGGTTGGTTAGGGCTCTTGCATGCCGTGGGAGGTTTCAGATAGCTTCTTTTGGTCTTGGGGGTGTGAAACAGTCTAGCGCACATTGGCCCTGGAGTGTGCAAAGGGGCAGCCTGTTTCCGTGGACTTAGTCACAGTGTCTGCAACTTCCCTTTTGTACTTCCAGGCAGGCAGGAGAAGAGTTGCTGTGAACACCTTAGGCGATTAGTACTTCACTCCAGAGCTGGCTATGTGTGACCGTTTGAAGATGTTGATTTCTCACCAGCTTGACTCCCTGTATGTTTTGTGTGATTTTTCTTGAAATGCACTGGATCCCTTTGAAATGGTGATTATCGTGCTGTATTTATTCAGAGAGGAGACACAGCAGCTGTCAGACAGCGCTACATACCTAATTGGGAATTCAAGTTCCAGCGTGGTAGATTGAGACTGAAAGGCAGAGCTGTGGGATAGAGAAGGGCAGGCACAAAATGCTGAGGCTCCTAATCTTTTACAATATGTTTGTTTAATATTAAGTGGTCTGCTGAGATTGTTTTGCAGTGTGGATTAATCATTGTGCGCTGACTAATGGGAGACAGCAAGCTATTAAAGAGCAGCAATTAACCATATAGCGGGAGGTTACTGAGTGTTTTCATGAGTCTTTAGGATGTGAAGACTAAAGAATATTACTTGAAGGTAACCTTTAGAGATTTGTAGCTATTAACATCGACAGACAATGACAGGAGTATGTGGGGACACATGCGTGGTTGCAGAATTCACCTGTTACCAAAACCATAAGTGCAAAAAAGAAATCGAACTTGCTTTCCGAAACACTCGTAATTGTCCTGATATGACATCATAAATAATGCTTTGCTGAGCTTGTTCTCTTATTTCATATTCACTATTTCAAATTTTTCCCATATTACCTTCATCTGATGTTGGTCCTAGGAAATGTTGGCCCTCTTTACAGAAGGTAATGTGCAGTGCCTTTCTGATACTCAGATGTCAGAATTATTGTTATACTTCTGCTGCCCTGATTGCTCTCACAAACAGAGCAATTGTCCTTGTCTTTAGAGCTGGTCTTGCTTAGGTACAGTAAGATCAGCGGTTCCTATAATGAGTTAAAACTCAGTGCACTTAATGTTGAGAGGAGCATGCTCTTCCATCATGTGCCGTGCACGATAGGTAATAAAATTTTCCACTTTTTGCCAGTAGAGAGTATGAAAACCAATGTTTTATTAGGAATGCTTTTATATAGCCCAGCTAGTATTCTGCCTGGGTTTAATGCAAAAAATAAATAACATTTTGTGGACTCTGTTTGCTGAATGATTTTGTTCTTTGTGAGTAACAGGAGATTTTTCCCATCCTGATTCCAATGTGTTAAATCTACTTTTTGAAAACTTCACTTTCCATTTATTCATTGGCAGTGGGGAGACCGGATAACATTGAATTTATCTTTTCAGTTTTGTTTCTTCTAAAGTGGTGTTACACAATTGGACCTCGGATGTTCATTTAGTCGACAGCAATGTCCTGGGATTCCTTGGGGATTATAGTAAAGAAGGACCCTTGGAATTTTGGACAAGGGCAAAGATGGACTTCTCTCTACTTCAACTCTCGCTGTTCAAATGCCTTAATGAATAGAGGTCTCCTTTAGCAGATAGTTCTGCATTAATAAAGCCTTTAACAGGTTAAGAAAAATTCAGAAGAATTTATTCCTTTCCTACCTGATGGATTTTGTTGCTCTTGCAACAGAAGAATCTGGAGAGGGTCAATTCCTTGGCTGCAAAGCACACGGAAGATACCCCGTGCAATGAGGGCCACGGGGTAAGCGTACTGAATGAAGCCCCTGGCCATGTCGGTGTTACTGGGAATTTGACTGTGACTGCCCTCATGCCTTCAGTGTTTCATAGTGTAAGAGAACGTAGCCGGGCCTCCCGTATGGCATCAACTTCTAAAATTGTTTCAGTGATGAAACTCTCCCTACTGAGCTATGGAGAAAATTCTTTTGTCTCCAGATATGGCAGCTGATTTGACCCTGAGCAATTTGAGCAAGAACTAATGACTTGGCACTGGCAAAGGGGAGGGCTTTGTTACCTTAGGACTCTTGTCCTTGCAGCTGGTGCTGCTTTGAGCTCTGAGCCATCACTGATGCTTCAGGGAGATATCAAACTATTCCTGACCTTACAAGGAACTGATGCAAAGTGCGAGATATCATCACTGTCTTAATGCAGATCTGAAGGATGAAGGAGTTCGGGTTCACCCCGTGGCCAGTGAAGGCAGGGGATTCAGAGCAGCTTCATCGATTTCAGAGCCGGAATGGGGTCCCATTAGCGCTGAGCTTGACCTGAGCTGAGCTCTGGCTAAAGGATTCATCCCTGGAGCTGCAATGAAGCATTTCATGGTTCGTTATCTTCACAGTAGGAAATAATGTCTTATTTTGAAGCTGAATGTCTAACTCCAGTTTTCATGCATTTGATCTTCTTATGCCTTTGTCAGCAAAGCCTAGTCTCTCACCGGTTTCTTTTCCATATATGAGGATCTAACCAGTTTCTTTTCCATATATGAGGATATAAAAAAAAATTTTCTCTCTCCCTTCCCCTACACAAACAAAATAATTGGAGCTCTTGAGGTCTCATATTACAAGGCTTGTTTTCTGGGCTGTGAATCACTGGGTGACCTGTCTTTGGATACTACTCTCTCTTTCTGGGTGCTTCACGAAGCATGAGCTCCAGAGCTGCGCGCAGGCTCCAGCAGAGCTGTGGTACTTGTGCAGATTGCAGAGGCAGCATCGCTTTTCGGAGACTTCAGGGTTTTTTTTGGCTCAGCTGATTTGGCAGCTTGTTGCTGTAGCAGAAGGGTGTGAGACCCCCTTGCCCCTGCTCTTCCTGCTTCTGCTCTCAGGTGTGTCGATCTGCCCTGGTTACCCCAGCGCTGGTACTCGCTGGACCCCTCCAAGAGCTGATTTACCTTGCTAATGCAGCAGGGAGCTTTCTGACGGGCTCGAGAATGGATTCGGCTCGCGGAGAGCTCAGAGAACTAGAACGGTGGGAAGGCACAGCCAAAGGCAGGGCGTGGGGAAGGATAGCGAGGCAGGATGGCCCCTCTCCAGGGACCGCCACGTGCCAGGCTGCCCCCTTCCCAATTCCACCCACGATTCTCCCCTTGTGTTGAACTCTGCCAGCCACCACCGCCTAGAGACAGTTTGTAAAACATTAAATGATGTTGGACCAAAAACCATTTCCCTGAAGACCCTAGGAGTGTACTGCTTTTTACTGATGTTTCCCTACTGACAACTACATTTTGAGATGAGTCACTGAAATTGTGTTTAATCCACTTGTAAAATTGGAAAGGCAATTACCATCTTGCAAGTTCTTCAAATGAAATTGTTAGAGAACATTAAATCAAATGCTTTGGCGAAATCCCAGTATATACAATTGCTAGACTGTGATTCTGTCGGAAGAAAAGGTTTGCTTTATTGGGCCTGTCTTCAGTGAAACTGGGCTGTCTGGTGTTCATTTTGTTCTTAGCCTCCACTTCTCTGTCTGTGCTCCGTTATTTTCCTTTTACTATTTGTTACCCCATAATGAGAATTAAGGAATCTCTAGCTTATGGTTGTCATCCCTACTTTTTAGCATTGCCAACTACAGAAGGCATTTGCAAACTGAATTAATACTGTTAGTCATGAGGCAATTAATCTGTTACGACAACGTGGTGACTTATAGCGCAGTGGTGATAGAGAAGGTCACTCTGCTAGATCTCTCTTTTTGCTCGGCGTGTTTGGCTCTGAAGTCAAACCACCCACTCTGCCGTAAGAGGGAGGAGTGTGGAGCCCCCTGCGGGTTAGTCATCAGTGGAGGGATTGGTAGACTGTGAATCCAGAGACAAATTACCACAGGTAACGCTTTGGTCACTGATGCTATTACCTGATAGAAGGCGCAGGTTAGCCTAACTTGGTTTTCACAGCCACGCACTGAGGCTTGCACTCGCAGTTGGCTCTCTTCCCCTTGGTGCATCCTAGTCCAGACGTGCCATTTCATGTTGCTTCCTGGCACGAGGAGTTTTACACAGATGTCTGCCATGCACTTTGTTCTCTCTACAGGTGAAAACAAGAGAGGAAGAACTACAGAAGGAGGAGTTCTGTGCTGCTGCTAGAAAGATACAGGAGACTGTTGAGCTGAAACTGCTAGATCTTACATACCGTTGTGCTCTGAAAAAAAATAAAATGCACGGTTCGTGCAGACTGGTGTTTAGAAGCAAACACTCTGCCAGCAAAACAGGCTTCGGTAGATCTGTATCTAAGGAGCCTATTTCAACTGTCAGTGCTACAGAGGTGATCAGAGACCTGCAGATGCGAAAGGCCAGCCTGGAGAGAGAGCTGAAGCAGCTGCAGGAAGAGTGCAGGCAGAGGATGGATGAAATTGCGCAAGGGTTGGATGGAGTGATTTGTATCTCCCCTTGAAGAGAGAAAGCCGGATGAGAAAAGCAGGTGAATAGAGTTATTTGATCAGAACACGTTTGCACAGCTTGGCATGGGGGAGTGTGAGGTGAGGAACTGAATGTAATTTCTAATTTTTAGCTTGGGAATCATAACTTGTTACTGCTTTGTGACTTACACTGGGGCCGTAACCTTGGTGGTTCTCTCTGCAGCCCTCTTTATTGCTAATCTTGCCAATTAAATCCTGCAGCAGGCCTTAGTGGGAGTGTGCTTAAATCCCCCTTTTATCTTTGAGATTTCTAGTTCTTCTGCCAAGCAGTGGGCTCTTTTACAGTGCTGAGCTGCTGCACAGCATACTTTGAGGCTGCACATTGAAGTACTAATTGCATTCAGCATTTTCCAGCGAGTGGAAGTGTTCATTAGTCAGAAAAATCTAGGTATTGGAAAACATGTGAAGTACCAAGGCTGAGAGAAATTGGAAGTGTTCAGGAAAGTATGTTATTTAATTCAGCTAGTTTGCATATTTGTGGCAGCTATTACGCAGCCACCATAAGAAAAACAAATGTCTAATAATAAATAAAGCAGCACAATGTTTTCATTCACTGCTGTGATGCACTTCAAGTCATTGGGTTCTCAAAGAGAACAAACTAGAAACCCATTCCACTGAGTTATGAATCACAGTGAGATAACTTATGGGTCTGCTGTAGGAATTTTTTGTAAAAGAGAAATGTGGCCTTAAATTCCAAGTCTGAGGAGTCTACAAGCCTGAGGAGTCCCCATGCTCTGTCTCTGGAGTCTTTTTCCCCTGGAACATACAAATGTTTTTCACTTAGCATTCGTTTTCTGTCCTTTTCTGTTTCGTTTTCACTATGGAGTATTTTGATATTCCAGTTGTACACTCTCAGAAATAAAAAACAGTTTGCTTTCTGTTTGTGAATTGCAATGAGCAGTGGGCTTTCCTCAGTCTGGCTTTCTGTCTGCCACCCCAGCTTGGCTGTGCTGTTGATTAACAGCCGCTCTTGGCTCGCTCAGCAACGAAATGCAAGAGTACCTTTAAGGACCCTTTCCGGGTACCTGTGTGATTACTGCTGCTCTGCAGAGAGATGATGTGCAGATGGGAGGGGATGGACAGGGCTCAGGTCTCCTGGTGTCTGCTGCACCAAGTGAACTTCAGATGCTTCCAGACCCCCATTCATCTGCACCGTCCATGCTGGTGCTTATGCGTTTTGTGCAGGAGTGAGGGACAATACAAACGTCAGTGGAGAGCCACGCTCAGAGGGCCAGTGTGCTCTGGTTTCCGCCAGCTGAACACAGCTTTGCCGGTAGGTCAGGAATGGTACAAGCTTAGTTCGGGCCGAGTTTCAGACAGCCTTTCCTCTGCATGGACCTGGCAGGTTCTCCGGAGGCCAAGCTCTAGCGAACCTGGTTAGAAGGGGTAATTCTCAGCCAGAGAGCTCAACTGCCCTCAGCCCTATGCAAATGGGGCACTCACCGGGAGTGGGGTATTTACGGGTGCTGGCAGAGGCTGCCGGCTGCATCCAGGGTTACAAGTGTGCACGGTGGCAGCCAGCACAGGGGAATGACAGCGTATCGCGGGGCATGAACCCCAGTGGGCTGAGTTCAGAGAGATTCATCCCGGGGCAGATGGCTGCGGACTGCTGCTGGAAGAATAGCCTTGGCCTTCAAAAGCCAATCCAAATTGCTTTGCTTTTGAAACCGTCTCTGTAGATGCAGGAGACACGGTACTCGGTGTTTCAAGCACAAGTGCCCCTGGTGTTGGCTGTTACAACTTTGTGTGGGTGTTGACTCCAGGGCTGCTGAAAGCAGCATAAGCAGACTGAGAACATGAGAGGACTAATTCAGACACAGATTTCCCAGAAAAATTATTCCTGAATGTGAAAGAAGCCGTATATCCTAGAACTAACAAAGATGGTAGCACTGGTCTTTTTCTTTCCGAGCATTTTATGTCCTCTTTTAAATTTTTATGTGAGGGGAATATTCATATTGCATCAAATTTAGATTTAAAACGTTGACCTCAAAAGAACTTTTGTTCTCCTGGGATTTTCAGCAGAGAAGAGTGGACAAATATTCTTGAACGTGGAGCGAGCGAGCTCAAATTCAAGTGCAGGTCTAGCTCATACCTTGCTGCGCTTTATCAGGGTCTTCTCAATGCTGTATGCCATGAGGTATTATACTGCCAGCCACTTAAGCTGACAGTAGTCACTCGCAAGGAGATGAACTCATTACCCAGTATCAAATATTTGTCAGCGGGCAGTACTCAGTGCAGTGTGTCTTCATACTCATCCATGAATCCCGTTTCAGTAGAGACCAGAATTGGCAGAGCGTGTGCCCCCTGCTTGACCCTGAAGAATTATTTCCCTCTCTGGTGAAATGTAAAAATTATGGTCCTCTGTGTGTCTGCATATATATGTGTGTGTGTGTAAATATAGAAGTCTGTACAGTGAATCCTAGGCAGCTGCATTTACCACATGACACAAATCATCGCAGCAAGGTGGCCATGTTATTAGCGGGCTGCTGTCAGAGCAACTAACAGAGTGGAAATGTTATTCTTTGTCCTCACATTAACACTTAGAGGGGCTAAAGGTGAAAGTAGCTCAAAAAAAGATCACCTGTTACCCCTGGTGCCACAGGTTAGCTTTGTGCACTTCAGCCGTGTTGTGCAAAGAGCACAGACAAGGGTCGCTTGATTTTTCTGGCGCTGATTTTTCTCCCTGCCTGTTGTTTTTGGTACCAATTAGCAGTTTAAACACAGAGTGGCTATTCTGCCATCGCTGACAAAGGTGAGCAGGGATTTTGAGCTGGCAGTGTTTTCTAAGACCAGCTCCCTCTTTCCTGTGCCCCTTTGCTCAGCACCAGCACGGAGAGCGCAAAGTGCTTGGCACTGTCATGCACCAGATTTTGCAGGGTATTTTTCTGGTGCAGGCTGCCTTTTAAGAAACAGCGCACATCCCCAGTAGTTTGACACAAATGGACTGAGGTGTGGATCATGTTTCGGTGATTGGTCACAGCTTTTGATTGCTTTTGTGGCACGCTGGATTCATTTGAAGTGGAGGTGCATTCTCATTCTGGTAAGCTAGCCAAGGAGCTGTCTCTCAGGTTGTCTCTCCAGCACTGCTAGGAGATGATATATGATAAACACCACCTAAAATAAATGATCGCTCTAGGCTCTTAGCAGAAATGAGGGCAGAGGGCAGGAAAGTGAACTGGTTGTCCACAGTAGCACTTACCACATACAGCTTAGGAACAAATAGATGTCTGTCGCCTTGTGCATCTGAGTTATGGTGGCATCTGAAGAATTCTCCTTCCCTTGTTTAAGCTGACTTCTCTCATCCGCTACTGCATCACAATGCACCGGTTTCAAAAGCTGCAATAACCTGCGTTGTTGCTAAGGTTTGGCCCAGTGTGAACAGCCAAAGGCGCTGTAAAAGAGGGAGCGGTTGCTCTGGAAGACGTGTGGCAAACAGCAACCCAGTGGCCCTGGTAGCGTACGTACCCTGGTTGGTCTCCGGCAGATGCCGCGACAAGCAGACGAGAACTCGAGTAGTACATTTCATCCATGGCCTCAAACATGCTTGGTGAACGTTAAGTATTACTTCACTGAAATTAGAGCGCGTTGTAAACAACCCACTGCAGGCTGAATAGCAAAGTTACAAGCTGTTATATGATCTGTCCTTTGCCACATCACCAGCTTTGTTGTACATTTCCTTGTGTAAGCGGGAATCTCGATCCTAAAATTATTGAGGGAATTGAAAGGAGAAGGATATATTCCAGCTGGAGAAGCTGGGAGAGAAACACAAACACCTTGTGTACAAATGATTGCTGCCATAACATCAGGAATTGTTTGTTTGTTTGTTTGCTTCTTTGTTTGTTTTTGAAGGGGCTTCACCAAAAGTTCTCCCTGTTGATGCATCTTAAAGGGAGTTAATTTGGTGTGAGTTTGGATCCAGGATCTCCCAAGCGATCTCAGAAAGAGGGAGGAGCATGTTAGATGCGATGACCCATGCTAAAAGAGCGCGCAGCTGGGGTTAAATCAGCAGCCACCAGAGATGCTGCAGGTGGTGGTGGGGTACACCTGCCCGTTCAGTCATGCAAGGGCTAGGCAGGAAAGTGGTCCCAGACATTCAGCGGGTAACAGCTTGTGGCAAAGCCTGTCGGTAGGAAGGCCCCCTACCCAGCTAACTCTCCTCTTCAGGGCCTGGAAATGCACGGCTTTTTGCTTTGTTCTTTGGTAACGTTTCACTGAAGACAAGCTAAGTTACTGCTGACGTGTTTAAACATCTTTCTGATGATGGGTTGTCGCTGAATGTATCTTTGAGAGAGGCTTGCACAGATCTTGTGTAGTTTCTTGTATGCCAGTGTGAAGGTATTTATAGGTGAACACGGTTTAACCAGTCTCTCTGATGTAATTGGCAGTTGCTTTCCAAAAATCTTGCTAGGAGAATGGAATTGGCCATACATACTTTACTGGCTAATAACTCTGGGTTGCATTGCATACTTCTCCCCAAATAGCTGAGCCTCAGTGAGCTAGGAGCCAAATGGGGAGGTTTACTTTGGAAAAGGCAGATGAGCCATCTGCAGTCCCTGCTCCTGACAGAATTGCACCTGCTGGTAAATAAGGGCTGTAAACTATATTTAAAAATAAGAGCTGTTGGGAGTAGTAATTTGAAGCATGGAGTGTTTTGGGTTCCCTATGGGGCTCCTGCAGCAGCTGATGCAGGAGGATGAGCTGGTAGGTTAGCGGGGTGTGTGTGTGTGTGTGTGTCATGGCAGGGCGCACGCTCAGTGGGGTAACACGTGCCTGATGCAAGGGTGCATCAGGCAAGGGTGGTGTAAGGGTGCGCTTACTCTCCTTTGCCCCTCAGCTGCTTGCAGCAAGACCCGCAGATCTTTGACCTTCACCCTTTGCTTCCCTGAGCCAACAGCTCTGCTATAAACAGATCCGCTGGTGCCTCCACGGTCTTTGACTGATGGCCCGACCTCTTGTGGCTGGTGTTGTGTTCCCTAAGGGCTAGGAAGCTTCTCCTCCTCCCAGCCCCTCTGTACTTGCCCTGTTTCCCAGCAGTCAGGCAACGGCCAGAGCCTTGTTCCTCAAGGTTTCATTCCCGGCTATTGGGATGGACGACAAGGAAATGGAGAGGAGGAAAAGGGGAAGGAGAGCTCCCTGAAATGGCTTATGTGCTATGTCACGCATAGGCCTGCAGCCCCCAGGGGCTGTTTCAAGCATCTGATCTCTTATGTAATGCAAGCTCCTGGCCCAGGCTGGTGATGCCTGACCCCAGCCCCATCTCGTGGGTCCGTTGGACTTTGTAAGAACAAATCTGCCAGTCTTGGGCACCATCCTTTCCCAGTGACAAAGCAGCTGCACCACTCCTAAGCCTATAGGAGCTGTAGCAGTCGAATGCCTTCACTGCGAAATGTGACACCACCTTTCCCAGCATGAATCCAGGCTCTGCATCTGTGGCTTCTGTTTTGCTTTCTTCTGCAAGGGTGAAGAGCCCTTTATTCAGCAAGAGATATGCTGCACAGGTGCATCTAGACACTGAACATGAATAAAGGGAAGGGCTTGCACTTTATGAGTCTATAAGAAGGGCAGGTTGCCCAGATTTCCACCTTTCCTTGCCTCTTGTCTCTCATTTGTTACAACCTTTTAAAGCAGGGCTCTGATTCCTTGCTGTCTTCACCGCCGCTGGAGGCCGAGGACTAACCTTTCTTTGCTCCTGCTCTGTATTTCCCCTTCTCAGTAACTAGAAAGTATTCCAGCCTTGATGCCACACATGAGAAAAAAATGTTCAGGAGATTACTATGTTAGAAAGCTACAAGAGCTGGAAAGGTAGGACTTGCTGAAGTAAGCACTCTGTGCACACGTGGACTTGGATCCCCTGTTCTTGTGTCTCATGGCTGCTCGACATGGTTGCGCTGTGT